GCCATGATTGAACAAGAAATTAGTGGAATTTTATCTTGTAATATTGGTTGTGACCCCAAGCTTATGCTGCTTGGGATATTCGACGAGATTAATATGGACAAGCATAAAAAAACACTTTGCAAGTTCCTGACATTTTGTGCAAGAAAATGTGTTCTCCTGAACTGGATAACGGACAAAACTCCTACAAAGACTTTATGGCACAGGGTAATACTTGAATATGTACCACTGGACTACTTAACTTGTGTCTTACATGGCAAAGATGTTTTATTTCATGAGAGGTGGGATCCATTTTTGTTACATATGGGTTTAAACATAACCTTCATAATCATCAGAGGGTTGATTTAACAAGGTCAGATCTTGTAAAGGTTTGTGGTGCATGAATATGCAATATCGCTACTTTAATTAATGCCCCCAACCCCGCCCCCTTTTTTTTACTGTTTCCTTTTCTTTTCTTTCTCCCCGTGTTCTGTTCACTTGTTTGTTGTTGTATCTGTATTGCTTAAAAAATTAATAAATACATTATAAAAAATAAATAAATAAAATAAATATATTTTTAAAATATTTTTTAAAAATCCTTTGTGGTCATTAAAAATCCCAGGATGTCCTTCGAAAAGAGTTAACCCTGGCCAGATTTGCCTAATGACCTCCTAACGATCAATTCCCATATCATAATTGGCTTCATCACTCACCCTTAATCAGCTGGTGTGTGGTCTGGCGCAGTATAGCTGGCGTCGTGTCATCCAGGTGGATGCTGCACACTGGTTGTGGATGAGGAGATGATTTTTCATGTCTCTCTTTTTGTTTTAGATTCATTCATTTTTTTCTTCCTCTCTTTCTTTTTGCTGTACAACTTCTGTACTTTGAAGTCGTCATATCTCCCTTATTGCAAAAAGTAATCTCAGTATTGTATTCGTCTGTTGTATTTACATGGTAACGGCCTGTTGTCATTGCAACAATACAAAAAACTAGAGTAAAGGGGGTCACGCACTAGAAGCGCCGCTCGGCTGAATTCTAAACATCGGTTTCTATCAGGGTACACACACCGGCGCCGACTCAGGACACTGTTCATATTTCTGCCGAGTGCCATTTGATTAGCTTAATTTTTAATAGCATGCAAATGTGCGTGTCTGGTGTGCGATAACTTCAACCGTCATGTGAGAGCTGTGTCGCGGCACCCTTAAAATAAATTAAGGGTGCTTTCACACCTGCCTTATTTAGTTCTATTAAATCGCACTAGAGTTCGTTTCCCCTTTTGGTGCGGTTCGATTTGCAGGTGAGAATGCAGCAATCGTACTCGAGTGCGCACCAAAAGCGGACCAAATAAGAGTACCGAGACCTGCTTGAAGAGGTGGTCTCGGAATGCTTTCAAACGAACCCTGGAGCGGTTCGTTTGTGGTGAGAATATGATCCAAACTAAAACAGGTCCAACCGCAAAAAGTACTGCGCCTTTTGGACTAATTCAGCTGCCGTAGGCCGATGCGCTGAGCATTATGGGATATGGAGGAAAAATATTTGTTGACAGCGCTTTACCAACAGAGAGAGGGAGAGATGGGAAAACATTACCTGATGGATCGTTGGTAATATTTCCGCAAGATGACCATGTCGCAGTTTAGCTAAATTAATTCACGCCTCCTCCTGAAGTGACGAGCGATGCATTAAACACTGTTTTCCAGCCACGGCCGCGCTTCATTCTCGAAATGTATAGTTTGTCTAAAGCAGGGATACAATCAGTCAGTGCAGTCGTCCCTCCAGAGAAAAAGCGACATTATGTGTCTGCTGGTTTTGTTTACTTGCGGGAGTTCATTGGCATTTTCCCGCACGTAAATTCTGACCAATCAATAAGCAGTTTAGGAAATATGTTCAACAACATCTGGCCAATGAGAGATGTTGATTTTGTCAGATGACTGCATTTTGGTTCGTTTCAACTGGATCAGACCAAAGTCACCTGCAAAGTCACCAAAGTCAGCAGTGTGGTGTGAAAACGACCCAAAGACGGCAGTGTATCATTTATTACCCTTGGTTCGGACCAAATGAAGCGAACTACAGATGTGAAAGCACCTTAAGTTTACAAATTTAAGTGCATTGAACATTAAACAATTAAGTTGTCCACAAAAAAAAACTCACAATTTTTTTTTGTTTCAGCTCATTTTAAATAAATAGTTTGAACAGAAAACGTTTTTTTTTTTCGTGTGCCTATACGACAAATAATGTAATGCGATTTAGTAAATAAATCAACAAACACAACTGCGGAGTGTTTACATTTTAATAGATCATTTCAGGTCCATTTCCGTTCACAGACACGTTTGATTGTTACACTGACATCGATGACATTTTAAAAGTGCAATTGCGGACAAACGGCATACAAGTTCGACTGTATTTTTATATCATGAGGTTAAGAAACATTCCGAGATTTGGATTTTTCACTGACAACCGTGAACAGACTTTATGGATTCACACAGAACACAATTAAACACGCGACTTGATTGTCAACGATGCTAAC